CTTTTCGAGTTTTGCTATTACCTCTGAAGGCCAATATATTAATATTTATATGTGAGGTCTCCGGGTCAGATGTGACGTGCATGCGCGCTCCCGAGCCTCTTTATCCTTACAGTCTATAACACCCCCAAAACGTCCTGCCTCCAGCACAACACAGACTCCAGCACAAACTCCAAAAAAATCTAAAAAACAAAAAAAAAGTGTCTGCTGAAGCTCGTGAATCTGATCAACTCCGGACGAAAACGCAGATCAACATCGGCAACATATTAGTACAACATATTAGTAAACTCTAGTGAAATAGCAAGGTAAACGACATGAAACATGAAATGAATACAAAAGAATGTTCCAGGATAACAAAAAGTAGGTGCTTTAAGGCCCGTACACACCGGGACGAATATCAGCGCGCGTTATCAACGCGTTTTTTGTGTTCACACCCAAGCGTTTTTCGCTGACGATGAGCCGAGTGAACATGCAAATTCATTCCCTGACATTAGATGGCGCTTAGTGTAAAACAGAAATAATAATAGAATACTATACTAGGGTGATCATATTCATGTCTCAATGTTTTATTATGACAGATAGAAAAAAAACGAATGAAATAATGATAGAAATAATGTCTTCTGTATTAGAAAAATAAATATATAAATAATAAATAACTAAAAGAAATGCCTCCAAATGTAACAAAAAATAGCTCTCACAAACTTACAAAAACGAACTAACAAAATCTATTTATATCTTTAGTTTTCATCCTCTTTATCTTGTTTTTCTTCTTCGTCCACCTTGTTTGCCCATCTATATTTTGCTGTAGAACTGATCTTTCCCAGCAGTTTTTGTTTGAAAACCAGGACATTTTCATCACTTAAAAACAGTCAGGACAGGACGTGGAAACAGGACATGTGTAACGCAAAGTTGAGATGTTGCCCAGAGATAAAACATAGCACTAGTTGTCGGATGAACAGATGCATGAGAGACGAGAGTTGTCGTATTTCCCCGCGTTTAATAAAACCACTCAAACGTCACACTCGTCCTCCTCATGATACATGGGGATCGAGCGAGAAAAAACAAACAAACAAACATCTGGTCACAATAGAAAAATAAAATAAAAGAAAGAATACAAAGAGTCGGCAGAGCGGTTCACCTCTCCTCACTTGTCAAAATCTAACTGACACTACGCACACTATGCGCAGTTCTCATCTCAACTCAGATTTCTATAAAGCACAAAGTGACCGTTTTACATATGTCCCGGGAAAACAGGACTGTTGGTCACCCTATACTATACTATTATTACAGAAATATTAATATAAATATTATCTTATAGCTCTTTATGCTCCGAGACCAGCATCTCAACATCTTGCCCATATCTTATCTCTTCTTCGCCGTATGTGTGCTCGGCAAGACCGTAACTTCTGTAACTTCAGAAGTACCAGACACGTGAGCAAACCCGCCAATCTCGTTGGTCGGATAGGTTTTGACGCGGCGCGTCAAACCAAAAAAAACGAACCCGAGGCATTTTTTTTAAAATGACGCTTTTACGCGTGGCGTTTTTCGCGTCGGTGTGAACACTCACATTGGCGCCCATTGTTTAGTCACGAGGCGTTAAACGTCGACGAATAACGCGCGCGAAATTCGTCCCGGTGTGAACAGGCCTTTAGGATGTAACTTTTATTTTATTTACTAGATCTACTAACTAACGCCACTCATCCCACTACTACCATATACACATTTCCAGACATGTTTATTTACAGTAATGTTACTTCCTACGATCTTACTGATACACTGAAATTGTTCAGTCTAGTTCACTAACCGTTTTCATTATCATATTATACATTCACCTAGGGCTGCAACAACTAATCGATAAAATCGATTATAATCGATTATGAAAATCGTTGTCAACGAATGTCATTATCGATTAGTTGGTCTGATTACGTCACGGGGATTGTTTACATGCTACATGCGCTTCTTACATACGCTTCATGAGGCACACACGCAGTCTCTCTCCCTCGCCGGTCTGTGCGCAACACGGACGGTTTGGAGCACATTATCTTCTGTCTCGCATGCGCGCTCTTGATTCCGTGAGTTTGAACTAATTTGCGGGCATCAGGAAACCGCTATCAATATGCAGCATACACGAAAATCATTCACCTTTCGGCGAATTCGCCGTTTTGAAACCAAAATAGGTGACCTGCGTTAATCGTGTATACTTTATGAAGCCATACTGTAGTATGATGTGAGAAAGAAATGTATATTTAAGTAATTAAATTCAAGTTAACGTAAGCTTTTCCCTCCACTGCGGCTGTCAGTCATTCTCTATTCGGTGTTCAAACAGCGCGTCGCGTTACAACAGTTAACATGATGAAACTCTTTCCAAGATGATTCAATGTTATTATTATAATTGATCCGTAGATAAAGGTCTATGGTTTCGTAATATAATGACTATCTTGTGTCTGTTAGATCACAACACTAGAGTAGAGTCGGCGCAGTATAATTGTTCTTCACGTGCACAGTAGCCTAACTGAAATTTAAAACTGTTAAAAGAAAAGGCTTAATAAACTATTGCAAAGATACTGTATAATACACAGTCAATATTGCTTCCTCACTAAACAGCTGTGCATCTGATTTTTACGATGTTTTTCATGAATGTACAACAACAATACAAAGAGATAGTTTTACCAGAGATAGTGCTACACTTATTGTCTCTTATTTTTTCCCCACTAAGGAATGTTTTTTTTCACTAAATGTTCAGATTTTATAAAATTATTGTGCACTTGTGATTTTTCTATCTAGGCTAAGTTTTTCTGAGTTATCCACTAATCTAGTTTACAATAGCATTTTTGTCATAGGTTATGGTCATATATTTTTTTTTATTTGTTGTTTTTCTATATAATGAAGTTGTCTGTATTAAGAAGATTGTTTAACACACAAAAGAGTGTGGTTTTTAGGGTTTTATTTAGTTATAATAAACCAAAAAATGAAATAAATTTTTTATCCGATTAATCGAAAAAATAATCGTCCGATTAATCGATTATCAAAATAATCGTTAGTTGCAGCCCTACATTCACCTATGTTGACATTGCGGATTGTGAAAGATACACGAATAGTTCGTGAAATGGCTTATGCTATATAACATCACATGTCGGCTAAATGCAGTTTATTGGAACGTTATCATGGTACGAGCAAAAGCTGATAAAAGTAGGCTATTATTGTAACTGCAGTGGGAGTTTACATTAGTTTCCAGCATGTTGTGTGATTATTTCGCCGTTGCGTTGAAAGTCTTGCGTTGAAAGTAACATCACCGCTAGAGGCCGCTAAAAAATGCAAAGAGCACCTTTAATGAACTTTTTGAAGAGTCAGTGGTAGTTGCTTGGACGGTTAGAAATCTCACATATTTCATTAAAATATTTTCAAGGTGAATGAAACAACATTGTTTTGGCTACATCTCTCAGGGCATCATCTTCCTGTAGCACAGTGCTTCTCAAATCCCCCACCACCACATGTTGGATGTCTCCATCTCACAATAGTGTGTGACCAATGAGGGAGACCTACAAAGTGTGCAGTAGTGGGGGGTTTGAGAAGCTGCTGTAGCATATACTTAATTCAGTGGACAAACAACACCATAATCACAATAATACACAGCAATAAACCTGACCAGATTAACAGCAAAAATCCTAATAAATTGTCTTTTCATTTTAAATTTAAAGTATTTGACTGAAAGAGCGTGATTTGAAGCAAAAGAGCATACAAAGTGGACATCCAACATTGATTGCACTTTAACCTCTTAACTGTCACCCCCCCTTTTTTGAATAGACATGAAAATGCACTTTTTTAAACTTGGTTGTAATTCAAGAATGCTTTGGAATATAGACATATGATTGGTCTTGTTTTAAAGAAGACATTTGGCAGATTTTTGTAGAAGTGAAATAAATTAAGAAAGTGAGACAGAAAAAAAGTTATAGAAGTTTGAGTTTATGGAAATGTACAATGTAAAAATATTAATTATTCATATTTTACATAAAATATATATTTTCAAAACCTGGGCTACTCTAAAACGGCAGAAAGATCAAAGCTAAAAATCTGAACAAGTTGTGTTTCAAATTTTAGGTTGATATCTCAAAAAAATGAGCTTTCAGTTAGATTTTGTTTGGGTGCAGTACCCAACTTTTTCACTAGGGCACAATCAGACTCCATTACTGCCCATATAAGGGCGCCTGCATTTCCATTCATGTTTTGAGTGATATGAACCATTATTTTCACAATTTTCATACAATTTCTGAAGTAGAGATCCTATTCAGAAGTAGTATGGGAAGTTTGGCAGATTTTGAAATGAATTGAACCTCTAAGAAACACATACAAAGAACACGCATGTAAGTCATAGCTAGCTGCCACGTCACAAATGGTGAATTTATTATTTTTTTCTTGATATTTCAAACTTTTCAGACCTTTTTTTTCCAAAATAATCGAATGGATTCTATCTTTTGAACTTTTGGCATGAAAACAAACTAAGGAATCTACCATTTTTTTCATGATTTTTCATGTTTACTGCTATTTTAAAATAAAGGTCTGAACACGCCTTACGAGTATCAAAATATTCTTGTTGCGTATTGATAAATTATGGCTCCTCTGTAATATATTTTGAAAATCAGTCACCAAATATGAAAACTAGAGATTGTAAGCTTTCAAATGATATATAGTTTGTCAATATTATTTAAGGTATTTTCTAAGATATTATTGTTTTAAAAATATAGTGGCAAACGTCCCACCTGTGGGACAGTGACAGTTAATTAATATATAATACAATTTCTATTTTCTTTGAGAACACTTCACTAGTATGTGCTGCCCTCTTAAATGCCTTGTGAGCCCTATTTTTTTTTTTTTTGCCACATAAGAAACAGTTCCTAAGCGCTCCTTTTTCAGTAACGCAAGCATCTTCAGAGAGACAATGCCTGTCTAAATTAGTGAATTTATATGTAAATCGAAAAGTAACAGTAATCAGCAAAAACACATACCTTTCATCTCTGTGTCACCATTGTTGGTGCTGGAGATTTTCCTGTCCTTTTCTTGCAATCTGCCGTCCACCACATCTGTTTTTACCTGTCCCAGCGTCTGCAACAGCAGCATGGTGTCAAAAGACTCGTCTCCCCCTTCTTTTAACAGCTCTAACACCTGCAAACATAGAGCACACATATTACAAGACGTTCTTTAGGAAACCAAAAAATAAAAAAATCAATTCTGATAATCAAACAATCAGATTCATTCAGTCAGCTTTTAAAATATCCAGAATAATAGTCGATATAAATTAACAAATGCATTAATACAATTTACCAATGCTTTAATTAACTTCTTAACTATATTCACTTCAAGTTGAAATTACTTATAAATCCAGGAACACAAATGCACTATAATAAATCTGTAAATTAAGTAACAGTTGAACAAATGTGCAAATTGATGAAGCATTTGACCTCCTTGCTAAATGGAGCTCAATTTGAGTTTCAGTTTCATTTTATTTCGATGGTCCCTTTAACACATTCTGTTGACTATATAACGTTGCACATACATGTCTCATTAGAGTGTTAGTAGAGTATTAGTAGACTGGTAGGGTTAGGGATAGAATAAGTTGACTAATGTAGTTACTTTAGTCAGTATAATGTTGAGGGCCATCACAATAAAGAGTTGGCAGACATTTAGACAGTCTACTAATACTCTAATTTGAGTTAGTTGACATGTACTTGCCTTATAGTCAACAAAATGTTCAAAAGGGACCATCAAAATAAAGTGTTACCGAAGTTTCAATTACGCAGATGTTCAGAGCTGATAGTGTTAAGGCCGTTCACACTGAGCACGATGCGATAAAGCTAAGCGAATCGCAGACAGAACAGAGAACAGAGCTTTCTCACTGAACCGATTGCCTTCACGATAGAGGGCGCTGACCGAGAATACATGTGTCCTCATGTATTTATCTCGTAGGTTTCCCCATTTGGCTTTAACCTCGTCCGCTGCACAACATACAACAGTAAATTAAGATCAAGTTTGGTACTACACAGAAACCATCACTGAGTGTGTGTAATCACAATGTACTTCTGATAATGGGTAGAAGTACATTCATTAAAGATTAAATCTGTTCTCAGACACCAATTACAATCTGAAAAGCTCAAATTGAATTGCACGATTCATTTCATTGTGGGGTGATGAAGAAAAGAATAGACACACTGGTCAAGAAAAATCTTGCTTGGTCACGCTCAGTGTTGCCAACTTAGTGACTGTATTTACTGGGAGAAAAGCGCAAATGTGAAATAATTGCTGCAAAATATATCTCCTCATGCCATGAAATGAGGACAACCAGTGGAACCTCAGATGGATAAATAATTGTACAAATTTTCAAATAATAATTATTTTGATTGTTTGCTTTTTTTTTTAATGATTTTATTATTATTACTGTTCACTTGTATTTATCTATATGTTTGTATGTGTCTATTGCTATGGCAATATTGTGCTATTTTACACATTCATGCCAATAAAGCTAATTTGAATTTGAATTATTAATTTTTTTTCTCAAAAAAAGCGCCTGGCGGCAAATCTAGCTGACAGTGCTGGCAGATGTGATGGACTTATTTGCTTCTCCTTTGTTTTATATTCAAATAAAATTGTTTCCATTCTAAAATTTCCATTCTTCTCTTGTATTACCCACTATCAAAGAGCTTTAGTTCATCCAGTTTGAAAACTCTCTCAATTCAGATAAATTTACACATACAAAACGTAGTCATTCTCTTCATACTTGTTCTATTGTACTAATAAAACATATAGGAAATGAGAACAGCTTTATTGGACATTTGGCTATATTATATTATGTTATACTACAGGGCCGTTGAATGCTTGATTCTGATTGGTTGAGAACGTTCTAAAGTTGTGCAATTATTTTTCAGGGAAACGCACGGCTAAAGTAGTTTCAGGCAGGTTTGAAAATTTTCGATGTCTATCTTCACAATCAATGGGCATACAGTTTAATTTTAATAAATAAAGTATGTAGTCCTATCTATAATAGGCTAAATAGAAAATTAAACTGAATAGCCTATAAAATAAACTGATAGTCCTGCTGCACGGATTTTCGTAATTATTCCAGATAATATAACAAATAAATAATTATTGATAGGCCTACTTTGTTAAAAGGGCTTTGTGTGTTTCATTTATTGGGTTATCTACTGTCAATTATAGAAAATATTAATGAGCGAATTATTAAAACTAATTTAATTAATAAATAAATAATAATATCACATGCTTTTCTGTCAACATCAACATCTCTCTCTCTCTCTCTCTTCCTCTCTATTAACTGCATTAATAACTGCATAAAGCCGGGACACACTTAGGTCTACTAAGGCCAGTTATGAATGTAATTTGATACTTATGACTGATCATGCTTAAACGCGTGTTCAGCGCGTTCAGTCTGTGTTCACAGTCGGTGTTTAAGACCTGCTTCAGTTGATGGAAACAGTCGGTCTTCGAATATTTCAGCGAGTCGTAAGTGTGTCCCCATCATTAGTCTGCTATCAGTGGCTCAAACCTCCGTTACTACCTCTAAAATGACATTTTGGGATTAGCAACGGAGGCATGGGATCATAGGCGTAAGAAATTAGTCCTAAGAGCGTTTTAATGACAAAAACTTGACAAATGTCTTGATATGCATCATCTGAACAATGTTTTGAGGTGTGGTAACTGTAGTATAAGCGGAATAATTGACTTCAGGCCGTTGAATTATTCGAAAAATAATGCACACCCGAGGTGTAACGGTCACTCCGCTTTTTTTTTTCTTTCTAATAATTCAACGGCCTGAAGTCAATTATTCCTTACATATTGTATTACATTAAAATACAGTATGTGAGCTAGGATTAGGCAAGAAAACAGATTAGGCAGGCCGAACGCAAGAGTTGCGTGATGACGTCATCAATATGCTAATTGACACATAATGCCATCTAGCGACATTTAGCGACTTTTTGGGCAGGCTTTAGCTACTTTTCTTTGAAAACAGTTGTCAACACTGGTCACGCTGCGAATGATCCGGGCCAGCGTGAACAGCTTCATAGGGAACTATTGCTTTGATTCAAGGGCATCATCATGACGTACATTTGCATCGCTTAATCGTGCTCAGTGTGAAAGGCCCTTTAGCCTGACACTTTTCTATGTAATTATTACAAATTTGAAACAAATGACTTAAAGGACTAGTTCACTTTTGAGAAAACTTTTGCTGATAATTTACTCAACCCCATGTCATCCAAGATGTCCATGTCTTTCTTTCCTCAGTCGAAAAGAAATGAAGGTTTTTGATGAAAACATTCCAGGATTTTTCTCCATATAATGGACTTACATGGGAACCAGACGGTCCAAGGTCCAAATGAGAGTATCAGTGCAGCTTCAAATGTCTTTAAACGACACCAGACGGTGAATAAGGGTCTTATCATGCGAAACGATCGGTTATTTCAAAACTTATTCCAAAGTGTAACTTTTCTAAGGGCAAATGCTAGCCTTGCTCTATTCTGTGAGGCGCGTTTGTAAAGTCACATAATACGTAATTACGTTCAAAAGGTCACGGGCGACGTAGCCGGAAGTACAGAATCAAAATCGTCCGACATCGTTGTTTTACCTTTTAATTCCTTTTTTTGTAAACGCCGTTTGAGTTAGTTTGCACGTTCAACCTATGCGTTCAACTTGTAAACACTGACTCTGTACTTCCGGCTACGTCGCCCGTGACTTTTTGAACGTAATTACGTATTACGTGACATTACAAACGCGCCTCACAGAATAGAGCAAAGCTAGCATTTGTCCTTAGAAAAGTTACATTTTTGGAATAAGCTTTGAAATAACCGATCGTTTCGCACGATAAGACCCTTATTCATCGTCTGGTGTCGTTTAAAGACATTTGAAGCTGCATCTGAAACTGTTATTAACTGTCTTTTGGACCTTGAACCGTCTGGTTCCCATGTAAGTCCATTATATGGAGAAAAATCCTGGAATGTTTTCATCAAAAACCTTCATTTCTTTTCGACTGAGGAAAGAAAGACATGGACATCTTGGATGACATGGGGGTGAGTACATTATCAGCAAAAGTTTTTTCAAAAGTGAACTAATCCTTTAATAAAAATGAGTCTGAGATTAATTGACCAATTAAAAGTTAATTTAAATGAACAGCCCGTATCCAGAGTCTACACAATAGAGCAAAACTGATCGACACACCTTCAGGCACTTATAACTCTTCAGCTCACTGAGGTTCTCTTCCAGAAACAGCAGGTATAACGCAAGATCATCCCAGGTCGCCTGTCCAAACTGCATAACCCCTAATGTGGGCAACATCTCGTAAGGCTTCAAGAACCCCATGGTCCTCCTGAATGGAACCAACATGGCGTACAAGCACAAGGGCAACAGCAGCAAATACACACACAGATTTATGTAGCTCAGGAGCTGAAAGATGCCCACGGCAACCAGCTTGCACTGCATGGCCGGAGGGACCGAGGAGTCGTTGATCATCACGCCGGATCGAATGTCACATTGAAACTCATCTGTGATGGACAGACGGATGTAATAGCAAAGGTAGATGCAGGCTAACATGAGGGCCAAGAAAGTGATGGCGCGGCAGAGGAGGTATCGGATCAGTAATCCTCGAGAGAAGCGTTTGGTCCTCAAGTATTGTTCCACCAGAGGATATTTAAAGCAGCTCTCGGTAACGTCTATCACGGAGCTAAAGACAAAAAAACATGCAAGCATAACAGTGTTTAAATGTTACAGGAATGTAAGAGGAATGATTGGTGAGGGGTTATGTTAGTGGCAGAGATATTTATAGAAAGTTACTGATAGAAGGTTAGTTTGTGTATGCGTGCCGATAACTCTCGCGGAGTGAAGCCATGTGACACCTGTCAGTGTAAACCCAACACCCTGAACCGTCACGACGGACCACCAGGCATTTTCTCTGCTCTTTCACCTGTATGAGCCCACACGGGCTGACTGCGAGTCCTGCTTTCCTGCAGCGTGAAGGCCTTTGGCCAGTTTAATGGCTCTGTTGTAGGAACGGTCCAGTTCTTCCATTATAAAGGTCAGATCCGAAGAAAGCACAGGGGCTCCTGTGAACCGCCAGAACAACGCTGGCAGGTAAACTGATATCGCCACCAGCAACAGGATATAAGGAAAAAACTGCAGAGAGAGGGAGAGGGGTTACATTTGAAAAGCTCATTTGTCCTAAAACACATTAATGATCATTTTGATCATCATGATTTCATTTTTCTTTATTATAATGTGAATACTTATTATTATTATGAGGTGAAGGTGGATTTTATGACTAATCTCTTTATACTTCTGTATGTTGAGAAAACCCTTATTTTATCAATTTACTCGAGTAACGCACAAATTCCAAATCAACAAGAAAAATGAAGGATTGTTTTTAAGGGGAACATCAAAATAAAGCGTTACCATAATAATTTCTTCTTTTTTTATGTTAAACAATCAAGCTTCTTTTTTTAATGGAAAACTTATAAATGCTTCTCATTAGTTGCATGTCCAAATGCACAGTGTGTTGTACAAGTGTAAATGAACACAGTGCTGCACTTCACTCTCAAACACGCAGCATATATTTTAAATTAAACCACAGCCATTCTGATTTCACAATCACATTAATCACTGCATGTAATGGCTCGTTTCCACTGAGCGGTACGGTATGGTACAGTACGCAATTATTTGTTGAACGACTTTATTCAACTATTCTATTACTTCCTTATGGGCGCATGCGCGAGAACTGAGACGAGGACGTTCTCATTCGTCTACTTCTTGTTACCGGCTGCTCACCGCTTAGGAGTATTACCGCCCCCATAAGGAAGTAATGGAATAGTGGAATAAAGTCGTTATTTATGTTTTTTTCGCACAAAAAGTAGTCTCGTCGCTTGATAAACTTATAATTGAGCCGCTGTAGACACATGGAATATTTAAACCTTTTCTTTAATGACTTTATGGGCCGTCAAGAGCCAGTCCCTTAGGCAGTCTATGTAGGACTGATCCAGCTCTCAGATTCAATCAAAAATATCTTTATTTGTGTTCCGAAGATGAACGAAGGTCTTACGGGGTTGGAACAGCATGGGGGTGAGTAATTTATGACTTAATTTTCATTTTTGGGTGAACTAACCCTTTAACTGCTCTCTGTACTTATTGTATACATCTTTTTTAATTTTTTTATTGTGATATATTTATGCATAATATTGAAATGTTTTTTTTGTTTTTTTTTTGTTTTTTTTTCACTTTTATTTATCTACATATTTGTTTGTATATTACTATTGCTTTGGCAATATTGTGCTATTTTACACAGTCATGCCAATAAAGCTCAACTGAATTGATTGAATTGAAATTGAAAAGAAGCAGAGTGGTGTTTTATAACATACTTCATTTTATTGCTGCCTAAAATGTACATACAGAGATAACCGGAGTAGCAGTGCAAGCTGAGTGGCACATTCAAGAACGCGCTGTTCAATTAGCAGAATTACTGGACTCGCGTCCTCGGGATCATTCTCCTGAGTCGGGCTTTGCGTTGGCTACTTGGTATTATTGAGAAACGCCTAATGCCAGCGCTTGTTTCTTGTGACAAACATGCCGGGAAGCAAGAACAAGATCTGCTGTATGTCATCCATTGTTGTTTAGTACGCTTTTTCCACGCGAAAATGATGTTGATCGCTTCTTTCCGGCAAACACCAGGCCTACCAAGTAAGGGTACAGTTGGCGGTGGAAATGCAAGCCGGATCATGGTTTACCGACCCAACCCGTACTGTACTGTACCGCTCAGTGGAAACGAGCCATAAATGCCAGTGAAATACATCGCTTATGGAATTTTACCGATTACTCCACACAGGTAATGTAGGATTTTTTTTTTCGATTAATCATGACCGCCGTAGACTACAACACTAAGGACAACTTGGTAAAAGCTGTGAGAACATGTTCTTCTGGCTTTACCTTGTGCAGCCACAGTGGCAGGCCTCCCGTGTCCTGCGTTTGCACCGCCGCCCAGCAGTATGAATCCACATAACCAGCCTGACGCCACGAGAACTTTGTAGGGGGGAAACAACTAATCTGAGTACCTAGAAAAAAAGAGAATCAACGGTTTTACAGTAGATGGAGACTAAGTGAACAGAGGGAACAAGTGTGTGTGTTTGTGTTTTGAGAGTGAGACAGAAACGCATTGGGTGCATTATCAGCAGGAGCTCAATATGAAATATTGATCTTCATCAGTGTTAGGCAGTAATGTGTTAATAGTAACACATTACAGTGATAATATTACTTTTTGCAGTAACAAGTAGTATAAACAATTACGATTTCAGTAATAATACTACAGTTACCATCCATAAAATAGCTTGTTACAACATTATTATTGTTGCCTCAAGCCCTACTGATTTGAAATCCACCAATACATAGATTCATTTTCGTAACATTCAAGACTTGTGCGTGCATGTGACGTCACCATTGCAGCAGACTAGCTTGACCCCTAGAAAAGCTTACATTTGGCAGCTGGATTTATTGCCATTACTTTGATTATGAAAGGAGAATAGATCTGGGTCATCATTGTCAAATGCAAGTTGTGGCATTACTTCACTCTGGGATTACACGGTTTGACCATCCACATTCCTATATACGTACACACTTATTATCAAAAATCCTTCTAGAAAACTTTTTTTTTTATTATAGCTACAGTTAGAATCAAGCTACTCGTGACAATTTATGATATTAATACAACCCATACTCAAAACTGTGCTTGTAATAACTTACGATTGTAATCTAATGTAGATTTTGGTCATATGATTAGTGTTGTTTGTAGCATTTAGAATAACCTAATCACTACGCGCTTAGCATTTCTCATGAAAAAACATCCTTTTATCTTATAAAAATAGCTCAATGTTAAAATCATTTCAACAATTTTTTACAGTTTTTTACAAGCAGTTTGCTACTATTTTCAGAACCTTGATGTCATTTTTCAAAACTCTAGAGACAAAACGGTTATCACTTTTAACACAGGCTGTCTAAAATTGTGCATTCACATCTATAAAGAAATCTTGCACTTGTCTTGCACAATCATTGGTTCAAAAAAACAAATTTACTGTGAAATACCATTGAAACATACAGTAACTATAGATCACACACAAGCAACCGATAGTTTCTCTGTCATTGTTCGTACAATTAAATATTGTAGAACAAAATAGGTGATACAAGTTTCATTATGGTACTACATGTACAGTAAATGTACATATCTGTAAACTGCAGTATTAGAGAGAAGGCAGACATAGTGGAATCATTGAACAAAGTGTGTGATATATTGATGTAAAACACTACAGTACAATCACAACAGAGGTTTATTGGAATCAAAGCAAAAATATATAATATTATGCTACATCCATGGATATTGTAGTCTAATTGGTTCATGCTCCACGCTAATATTGGTGACAATGAATCTCTTATCTTGACACTTTCATGATTTACAGTAAACATGGAAGATTCCCAGATAGCAGACTGACATTGAATCAACGTGGAAATATGACATCGAAACAACGTTGATCTGACATTGTTTTGCTCATCGAATTAACGTTGAACCAACGTCACACGCGTCATTTTTTCAAAACTAACGGAAAATCAACTTGAAATCAACGCGTTGTTTCAACGTTATGAAAGCAAACCAATTTTCGATTTTCATTTAGCTTTGAAGAATGCCGCGTCTGACGTTGGTTCAACGTTAATTCGATGAGCAAAATCAACGTTGTTTCAATGTCATGAGAGACGTCGTTTCCATGTTGATTCAATGTCAGTTTGCTGTCTGGGTTATGTCTATGCATTAAGAGTAATGCAACAGTTACTTATCATTTTTGAGCAGTTGTATCAATTGATAGTTAGATCATTGTAAGGAAATGAATTGAAATTTAATGTGTGAATTGCCATTTGAAATAGTCGTACTTTGATGTTGTGCCATATGGAACAGGTGATTTTTGTTGAATGACCAAATGATCTAAGTTTTATGTGTATTGTATATCCAAGCAATTGAGAAAAGGGTTAGAGTTTTGAAAATGTGCATTTTGATCATTGGTTGTGAGTTTTGTGTCTAGAGTTGTGAAAAATGACATCAAGGATCTGAAAATAGTAAACAAAGTGATTGTAAAAAAAACTGCACATTCATGAATGAATCAGCATTTTTGAATATATGTATTATTGAAGGAATGGTTAAGGACACACTCAAAGCCAATCCCTTACCGCCACTAAGTGGTGTAACAATGCAATTCCTGACAGCCTGGTGAACCTGACTGTTACACAAACAATAGCCCAACAAGCCTATTGTCAGGTTTATGTTCCGTTATGAGGAACCTTATTTTGACCATCAGTTGTTTCCTCGCTCTGTTTAGTTTTGGTTTCACTGGTTACTGATTAGGTCGTTGTTTGTTTAGTCTAGTTTACTTTCCTTTGTTCTTGCCTTTTCATATTGCCCTGTGTTTCAGTTGTTCGGAGTCAGTTCTCGTTTATGCACTGTGTGGTTTGCGTTGTTCTCTTGCGTCTGGATAGTGTTTGGATAATTAATAATTATATAATTAATAAATATATAATTATAATAAGCTTCTCTTGTTGATAAATCCCCCCCCATCGACCACATCGAAATACTTATTTATATAGGAAAAAAAAGATTAAAACAAATAAAAAATGGTAACAATATCGTATATCGAAATTCCGTCACTAGGGTTGGGTATCGTTTGAATTTGAACGATTCTGATTCCGATTCCGATTCCTTGTTTCGATTCCGGTTCCTAACGATTCTCGATTCCGATTCTTTTAAGAGGCAGGGTCAAAAAAGTTTAGCTAACCTTGCTAACCAACGGCCTTTCTGAAGGAAATAATCCTTTCTGAAGGAAATACTCCTTCTGTCACAAATACTCCTTTTGTCACAAATTTTGCATTTTGCCGAGATTTCGAGATTTAGAAAAGTGAAGCCACACTTTGGACCGCCGACGTAAGCTACTCATGTTCGACACGCGCGGTTATACCAACACTTCCGGTAGACGCTTCTTCGTTGGTGTTGTTCAGCGGTTTCTTCTTCAGCTCGGCGGACTGTGAATATCGAAACTAGGAATCGAAATTTGAACTTTTGAACGATTCCGGGAAAAACGAAAAGTTAGTCCCGGTTCCAATCGATACTCGATTCTCGATACCCAACCCTATCCGTCTGCATTTTTAGTCACTGTGACAGCCCTAGTAATAATAGCATTTGTATTACATTAGTATTATTATCTGTCTGTTGTGCACAGCTGCGCATTTATGAGACAATTACACAGCACAAGAGCACAATTTCAAGAAATCAAGATAAATATCTGTATTTTGTTCCGCTTGTCACAATAACAAAAGGTTCCTGCATTCACAACTGTTATTCTGAATGTCATCTACTGTAATTGTAGTTACGGTCCGGAGATATTCACCTCAGAGTAGAAAATACATACACTTTTGGGTTTTCTAGGTATTGTCTTTTGAGTAGTTTTGTAATTAATCTTGATTTCTCAAAATAGCGCACTTGTGCGCTTTACTCGGGCGGGTGGTATTTCTGTGCTCTTGTTAGATAGTAATTATACAATTAAGTAAACAGTTGCTTTATATAATGAACATATTTAATTAAGGCAAATTATTTACACTTAAACAATGATTGACCAATTGTTGACCGAAGCTCAACACCTAGTATCATCAATTTATAATGGTTTCTTTTGCTTTTAATGCGATGCACTGATCATTTGCATGAAAAAGGTCGTGCTTGTGAGGAATAATTGGGTGTAGGCTCCATTAAATTATGGAGATTGTACATGTAATGAATCATATTGATCTACTTTCACACAACATAATGGCTAGAATTAGATGTAATTGGCAATTTCAGATGATGTTACATGTCAGATATTTCAAATCTGATGTTTGGCCAATGCCCACTAATTAACATATACTTTGCATACAGGTTGTCTTTGAAATTGAAAACGAAAACTAAAACTGAGAAATAAAATTGGAAAAATGACAACTAAACTTTAGATTTGAATTGTGTCACTTACTAATAAAAAGCTTTGTAAAAACTGTATTCAATTGTAACTTTAGGTGCATGACACTTTGTTTTGATGTGATGCAAACCCGCTTGAGCTCCCATAAAAACCAGTGAGGGTTTGGTCTCACTGGTCCCATTGACTTCCATATTAGGAAAAATATATACTATGGAAGTCAATGGGAACAGAAACTGTCTTGTTACTGATATTCTTCTAAATATCAGAAAATTGGTTGAATGCATTCGAAAATGGTAAAACCCAACTGTTTAACTCTGGGGGAGTTGTAAAATGAGACTATTTCCAAAAAAGTGGAGTATCCCTTTAACAGCAGCATTTGCATTTTTAAGATTTACATGTGTACATCACCTGCTGGGCTGTTCTGCAATTTTTAAATTTCAATCAATGTTTAATCTTCATGCCATACTTTCAGAAGTGACATATTCGACATTATATAAAAATACGTTAAAACTTTTGAATACAGATGTGTGAGATGACTTGCTGTTATAACATAACAAAATGTATGCGCCAAATACCTCTGAAGAACAGTTTTATTATACTTATTCAGATTCATACAAGTCACTTAACCTGTTTTTCTTTAACTTTACCCTCAGGAATGGGGTGTTTACCTTTGCAGTTCAATTTAGTCAATGTGGAAACACATGTCATTGCTTATGCTATAGCCTACAACATTGTATAAAACAAAAGCATAGGATAAAATATGGGAAAATACAAAATGCAGTTCAGGTCATATTTACGGCACTTAACACTGATAGATCGGCATCAACAGTTGGAAATTGTAACAGTTTCAAAAAGAAACTCAGAAGACAACTAGCAAAACATGGCATACGATCTCTGATAATTGTTTGGGAATCACTTACCGACAGACACTTCCTGAGCGAAGGCTAGAGAGATGAGAAGCAGGGGAAGACCCACCGCGATACAGGTGACCATCTTATCCAGAGCCAGCTCTAACCTGATGCCTTTATACTTGTTCTCGGACGCGGGCTCCTTTAGCACGAAATCCGAGAACACGTACTCTGTGGCGGCGTGCGCTATAGCCATGACTTCCCTCTGTTATCATCCATCCAGCTAATCACAAACATACATAAGGAGCCAAACTTTCGATTGACTGAAGAAGAAAGCGGGTCACTGTTCAAAAGGTAATCATCCCCTGAACCGGAATTGAATGGTAAAAAGCTTTAAGTTGTATGAACGGATAGAGTAATTGGATTTAACTTAGATGTGAAAACGCAAACAACGACACTACTATTTCCGAAAGCATTTCTTTGTTGTTTTCGTGTTGTTGTTGTTCTTCGTTTTCTATTTCTTCCTCTTTATCTTCTTGGGTTTTCTTGGCGGATGGCAAACCAGCTTAAAGGCGCTTTACTGTCATCTACTGGACAGGAGTGTGGATCAGAAGATGGGAAAAAGTTTTATTCTATTTTCAGCAAAAATTTAGTTTATTATATGTAAATCGTACTTGACATGAATTTGTAATCATTTTTTAATCTAGATACAATATATGATATTTGTGGTCGAGACGAGACGGGACTCGAACCTATGATTTTGTGTATTTTTTCTGGCCCGCCTCCCTGAAATTTCCTGCGTTCCTATTGGCTGGCAGCGCTCTACACCTACACGCGACTGGCCGGAGCGGGATAGGGGGGAAATAATAATAATTAAAATAATAACAATTATTAACCATAAACTTTTATACTTGCTCCATCATGCCTGTTTCTTTCAAAAGTTTAATTAAACGTGTATTTTCTCAATGCTGCTCCAAGGATGTTTTTTTGAAGTGAAGTTTAGTTTTCACTTTAAACGAATCACTTTAATTCCTCTGTTTGATTCTAGTTAATTGCTATCATATGCACGTGACATGTGTATGTCTAGCCTATCTTAATAGGCTAAATAAAGTGTCTTGTGTGTGAAGTCTCCTGTGTGTCCTATTTTTTCTGACATGATAGATAACCCTTTCTTCATTTCCCTTTCAAAACCAACAGAGCTTTGAATATTATACAAAATATTTTAATTGAATATTTTAATTTTTATTTATAAAATATTTTTATTTGAGTTTGGTCTTCTTTGGTCAATGATTACTGGCAACAAATAGCCAGCAAGCTTCTGTATTTTATACCCACATAAAGTTACTGTAAAACTAACTACTGTATTTTTAAGCAGGCCTATTGTTAAAATAAAGTACAGCATTATACTGTTATTATTTTATTAATTTTACAGCTACATAATGCAGAGGTGCCAACTCTCGCATTGACCCTTTTCACACAGGCTCACGCCACACTGAGAAAAATTGCGGAGCAAAGAGGACACTTACACCGACAGTCTAGACAGAGAAGGTTACTTTTGATATGGAACAAATTCTCAGCTCTCAGATTCTGTCAATTTTATTACGAAATTCTAACAAAAATAAGGCTGTATAGCACCTCAGTTCAAATGGCACGTGAACCGATCATCTCTCTTTACTAGCCTACTAGTTACTAGTAAATAAACTCAAATGATTATAGGAGAATGATTCTCCTATACTCAAATGAACTCAAATGATTATGTTGAGAGATACAGTAACTTATCGAAATGTATGAATACTGTAATATCGACCAATCAGTGTTTTTCGACCGCGGAAAGAGGTCTCTAAACGTAATAAAAGTAGGCCTATGTGTATTCAGGCTACCAAATGAGAAATGAGCACTCGCTCCAATGTTCTTACAGATATTTATTTACACAAACCTATGTGTACCTTGCAAATAACATTTGTATAAAACAAATTAGGGGATTATTACATGTGTTTTGAAGAGACCTACAAATTTAACGTAGCCTACTCCAAGGACTTTTATCTTCACGACACTGCGGGAGGAAAACGCCAGAAAATAAACACTTGCACATGACACGTATTAACTAAAACATAGCTTTAGACATTGCAAATAACGTCAGAATAAAATATATAAAGCAATTTAAAAAGTCAAAAAAAAAAAAAAATGATAACCTACCATACTCTTGTGGGCGTTCATCTTCATGATGAGTATGTTACCGAGAGCTGTTGCTTGAGGTGGTGTGTGGTAGTTTTTCGCAGTCATTTAGTATGGAAGAGTGGGGTAAGATGAGCCATTTTTTACTTATGTGGTCCTTAAGATAAGAGAAAATTAGGCAGAAGTACAACTTACAAGGAGTAATTTCAGGATGTTTTGTATCATTTTAAATGATGAGAATGCATCTATGACAAAGGGTGCTAAAAATATGGGTTATTATTTAAAAAAGTTTTCGTTTGGCTCAATTTACCCCAGGTTAGGGGTAAGTTGCTCCGAGTCAGTGGGTAAGTTGTACCATCTGGGTGTAAACTGACTATACAAATGAATCTGATTCAATGTGAAATTTTAAAGATTATTGACCTCTTTTAAAAACTAATTTAACAATCAAATTTCCTTTTACAAATACCGAAGGCATATTTCTTTTCTTAAAGGATTAGTTCACTTTTGAAAAAACTTTTGCTGATAATTTACTCACCCCCATGTCATCCAAGATGTCCATGTCTTTCTTTCCTCAGTCGAAAAGAAATTAAGGTTTTTGATGAAAACATTCCAGGATTTTTCTCCATATAATGGACTTCAATGGGAACCAGACGGTTCAAGGTCCAAACGACAGTTAATAACAGTTTCAGATGCAGCTTCAAATGTCTTTAAACAAGGGTCTTATCATGCTAAACGATCGGTTATTTCAAAACTTATTTCAAAAATTTAACTTTTCTAAGGACAAATGGTAGCATTGCTCTATTCTGTGAGGCGCGTTTGCAACGTCACGTAATACGTAATTAAGTTCAAAAGGTCACGGGCGACGTAGCCGGAAGTACAGAATCAAAATCGTCCGACATCGTTGTTTTACCTTTTAATTCCTTTTTTGTAAACGGCGTTTGAGTTAGTTTGCACGTTCAACCTATGCGTTCAACTTGTAAACACTCTGACTCTGTACTTCTGGCTACGTCGCCCGTGACCTTTTGAACGTAATTACGTATTACGTGACGTTACAAACGCGCCTTACAGAATAGAGCAAGGCTAGCATTTGTCCTTAGAAAAGTTGCATTTTTGGAATAAGCTTTGAAATAACCGATCGTTTCGCATGATAAGACCCTTATTCATCGTCTGGTGTCGTTTAAAGACATTTGAAGCTGCATCTGAAACTGTTATTAACTCTCGTTTGGACCTCCGACCGTCTGGTTCCCATGTAAGTCCATTATATGGAGAAAAATCCTGTAATGTTTTCATCAAAAACCTTCATTTCTTTTCGACTGAGGAAAGAAAGACATGGACATTTTGGATGACATGGGGGTGAGTAAATTATCAGCAAAAGTTTTTTCAAAAGTGAACTAATCCTTTAAAGCTAACTTAAACAACATAAAACCAAATTAAGTTGTCGTTTCAATATCTTTAATTGTTTGCATTTCTGAAACAATGTGTTGAACGCCAAAGTTGTAACCTTCAGAAAAAAAAGTAATATTAATTAAAACCTGACAATAAATGAAAAAATGTCACCGAAACTAATAAACATTTAGTCAAAAGGTTCTTGGCATGGTTTTCTGCAATGCCAAACATATTAAACCATTGGGGACTACAGGTGAAAAGATATGGGGTGATTTAAGGGAAATTGGGCAATCAAGTAAAATTTGCAATTTAAAGGTGCTCTAAGCGATGTTACGTGTTTTTTTTTTTTTTAGGAACATTATTTAATTTTTTCCAAAACATTTTTTTTGTGTCACACACAGAAAACATCTCCTCACTATCCGCTAGCTGCTGTCCTCTGAACACTGTAAAAAAAAAACGCGGGCTCTGCAGACACCCCAGGCTCCACAAACGGACACAAAAACAAACTGGGCTAACCCGCACCACAAAACATAACAAACTGTTCCAGTCAATAACCGACAAGAAGGATTTGGGGGGTTAGTGCGCGGATGAGGAGGAGGGAGGGTCAAGCTAGCCTCCATTTTGTCAACAAGAAGCCACGTCACGTGACATCACTTAGAGCACCTTTAAGTTTTGAGTGTCTTATCTCTTTAAATGTTAACAGCAAATGCATGCAAAGAATTTCAAACTGTTAACAGTACTTGACATTGCTTTTTAATTGTAAGGAGCTTGGGGGCGCTAGTGAGCAATGAAAGGATAAGACGCACCTCCAGATAGCTCCAGATAACAAAAACGCAACATTTTCGATTATTAACTACTTTGTGAAGAACATAAACGTTGCGGCATTCATCGGAAAACAAAATATCCTATTCGGTTGCGACAATGGTTAAACACAAAGTCAAGAAAAGTGAGACACCTGAGACAGGGCCAGAGACCTCGGGCGCGCCTTGCTCGGAGGCCTCGGAGGATGATGACTGCACTGTGGATGAACCCGCTAATAAGTCGGTGCTCGCGGCCATCGCTGCTTTAAGCGCAGATGTGAACCGGATCAGATTAGAGGTTTGTGCCACCATAGAAAACCGCATCACAGAAGTTTCTGCTACCATCAGAGGCGAGATTTCATCACTTAATGAAAACGTCCAGAAATCTATCTCTGAGCTGAGAGGCATATCATCAGCACACGGGACCACTTTGAAAGAACTGGAAGAAAGCGCTTCATCCCACTCTGACATCCTCTCCACACTGCAGTCTACAGTGGATCTTCTGACAACTAAAGTTAAACATCTGGATGAAAAATGTGAGGACCTTGAGGCGCGCTCCAGACGGAACAATATCCGGATTATAGGAATACCGGAGGGAAAAGAGGGGCCACGGCCCAGAGAGTTCATCTCGCAAGTCCTATCCGAAGCGCTGTCTCTACCGGAGCAACCACTGATAGATCGGGCACACAGGATAAACCACCAGAAACCGAAACCAGAAGACCCCCCACGACCCTTCATCTTAAGACTTCACTACTACCACGTCCGTGAAGAAATACCACGTAGGGCCACAGAAAAGAACAAGCTGGAATACCAAGGATGGAAAATACACATATTTCCAGATTTCCCTCCTTCTGTGGTCAAACAGAGAGCGGCGTTCACTAAAGTTAGAGAAATGTTACAAGGAAGATCTGACGTCAGATACGGACTGATTTATCCAGCCAGGCTGATTGTGACACACAGAGGAGTGAAAATGTCGTTCACCGACCCAAAGGAAGCTCAAGAGTACGCTGAGAAACATTTCGGTCAGCCACATTAGACATTGACATAGGAGGTGACATTCCAGATGGCTCTGCTTATTGGACAATGCACTTATACCAGCATAGACTACTGGTCCAATCCATCAAAATATGGTGAGATTGTGCGTTTGACCAAACACTGTTTAATGCCTTACAATATAAATGTTTTTGTTATATTCAAATCAATCAGACGAGCTATTTGAGATGCTCTAGTTACTAAGGTTAACAAGGGTTAACAGTAACAGCTCAGGGAAGTAGAGTTTTTTTATTTATTTGTTATATATATATATATTTTATTTTTATTTTATTTTTTTCCTCATCAATACTTCCCGAAGTACTTTCGTGCCATACGTTTGTTTAGTATTGGCTAGAAATGTTCTTATTCTTTGTTTATTCAGTTTGTTCAAGAGGGTTTAAAAGAGTTTATAGGATGGGGGTGGAGGTGGGACCTAGCCGTCTTTCTACTATAAAATCACAATTTGAAAGTGTACTAATCGGAACAGTTTTTTTTTTTTTTTTTTCTGATATGCCAATACAAAACGATCTGATTACAAGAGAAGAAGGGGGGGGTGTAACCTTAGCTACCTGGAATGTGCGTGGACTTAACAACCCTATTAAAAGAGGTAAAATCTTTGCCCATCTTAAATCATTGGCACCAGATCTAATATTCTTACAAGAAACTCACTTGAAAAAAGACTCTCATATCAGATTAAGGTGTAAATGGATCAATAATATATGCCACTCATCATTTAATCTTAAAGCAAGAGGTACAGCAATTATGATAAGAAAAGGCATTCCCTTCATTCACAAAGATACAATATCTGATAAGGAAGGTCGATTTCTGATTGTAACTGGTGAAATATATTCTACACCTCTCACCCTGATGAACATATACGCTCCAAATAGACAATCCATCAGTTTTTTCAGAAGGCAATGTCTCTTATACCAGATTTATCCCAGACGAATTTGATTATTGCAGGGGACTTCAATTGCGTATTAGATCCGTATTTAGACAGATCTTCCACTCGTAGAGCAGAGAGAAGTAATTCAAGTCTTTTTCTTAACACATTTATTAACAATACTAATCTGTCTGACATTTGGAGAATAGCTAACTCGACTGGTAGGGATTACTCCTTTTATTCCACATCGCATAACTCTTACAGCAGGATAGATTATTTTCTTATAGATGCAAAACTAACACCTTATGCTGTAAATCCGAAATACCACAACATTTTGATGTTGGAGGCTAAACCCTCTCTTATTAACCGAAACAGAGTTCTGTGATTATTTAAAATCGCAGATATCCCTTTATTTTGATACTAATGATAATTCAGAAACCACCCCTTCTGTTCTTTGGGAGGCATTCAAAGCATTTATTAGAGGCTTTATAATTTCATTTGAAGCATCTAGAAGGAAACTGAACAAAGCTAGATTGCTCGAACTAGACATCCAAATTAACCTCCTAGAAAAAGAAAATGCCAAAACCCCCTCCAGTGACTTGCACAGAAAGATATCTGCCTTAAAATATGAATATAACAAGATACTCTCGGCAAGGATTAGTAAGGCATTTTTTTATACAAAACAAAAACATTTTGAGTTTAATGACAAGCCACATAGACTCTTAGCCCGGCAACTCAGAAAACAGGAAAATGATCGCACGATACATAAAATAAAATCTGATAAAGGTGAGATTCTGATTAATCCCAAGGACATTAATGATCGATTTCTCCAATTCTATAAAAAATGTGTACACGTCCAAAAGTAATACCGACCATATAGCTATGCAAGATTTTTTAAATAAGTGCAATCTCCCCCAGCTGGATAAAAATGAGGCAGCTCAGCTCAATTCTGAAATTTCTGTTGATGAAGTTATAAAGGCTATTTCCGCACTCAAAAGTAACAAAGCTCCAGGCCCGGATGGCCTTCCAGGTGAGCTGTATAAAAAAATTTAATGTTACCCTGTGCCCATATCTACATAGGGTGTTTACTCAAGCCCACACAGATGGTGTCCTGCCTCCTATTTAACAGAAGCAGTTATTACAGTGATGCATAAAAAGGGTAAGGATCCAGAAGAGGTCGGCTCTTTTCGACCTATTTCTTTACTAAACCAAGATGGGAAATTATTTTCTAAAATTTTGGCCAATAGATCGAGCCCCTTCTTAGATAAATTAATACATCCAGACCAAACTGGTTTTATACCAGGTAGAAATTCTTTTTTCAATCTTAGACGTTTATTTAATGTCATGTATGCTACTAACAGGCCACAAGAAGAACTAGCCATCCTTTCACTCGATGCTGAGAAGGCATTCGACCAAGTAGAGTGGCCGTATCTATTTGAAATTTTAAAGAGATTTAATTTTGGAGATAAATTCATATCAATGGTAAAGCTTCTTTACAACAACCCCTGTGCACAGATGCTGACTAATCAAATACTGTCCCCCCGTTTCAAACTATATAGAGGAACGAGACAAGGGTGCCCTCTTTCCCCTTTAATCTTTGCTTTAGCAATTGAACCCCTTGCTGAGAGTATCCACGATCAGACCCTTTAATTCATGGTTATAATGCACAAAGATCTATAAACAAAATCTCACTATATGCCGATGATATTTTATTATTTATCTCTCAACCCCAAGTCACAATTTCACAGATCCTCGATAAAATAAATTCATTTGGGACCTTCTCTGGTTACAGGATAAACTGGAATAAAAGCGAGCTAATGCCTATACAGGTGCGGAATATTGCCTGGTTACAGAACCTTCCTTTTAGCGTATCTTTAGAAAAATTCAAGTATTTAGGAATTCAGATTACAAAAAGCCACTCTGATCTATTTAAGGAGAACTTCCCACCTCTGTTGTCTAAATTAGAATCAAATATACAGTTCTGGAAGACTTTGCCAATATCTTTACTTGGCAGAGTGAATGCTATCAAAATGATTTTCTTGCCCCAATTGCTGTATTTATTTCAGAACATTCCAGTGTTTCTCCCTAAATCTTTCTTTAAAAAAGTTGACTCGATTGTGCTCCCTTTCTTATGGGACTACAAAACCCACAGGATAGGCAAGAAACACCTCTGCAAATCTAAAATAGAGGGAGGTCTGGCACTTCCGAATTTCTTATCATATTACTGGGCCTCACACATCAAGATTATTACGTATTGGCTTGATAAAACTGCTACCTCACCAAACTGGCTCGAATTAGAACAAGAGGCATGCCAGCCTAACTATATAGGTGCCATCCTTCTGGCACCTTACACTATTGAAAAGTCTTTGTACAATAGTAATGTGATGATCCATAGTACAGTGCGTATTTGGAAACAAATCAAATCACACTTTAAGTTGAAACCCATATTTTATGCATTACCTATCACTGAAAACCCTACGTTTCCTCCATCCATCCTTGATAATACTTTTAATCTCTGGATAAACAGAAGCATCGATATAATAGGAGAACTATACATTGATGGCATTTTTGCATCCTTTGCACAATTGCAGAGTAAATATAATATACCAGGTAGCAGTTTCTTTAGATACTTACAAGTTAGAAACTATGTAAGAAAACATTTGCAAAATTTTGAGATCTTCTCAGGCTCTTGTCTTGATCGATGCCTCCGACCCATGTCTTTCTTAGAAAAATCAATATCTTATATTTATGACACTTTGCAGTCTATCAGTCCAGTGATCTCCACTTCAATAAAAGCAAAATGGGAGGAAGAAATGGGCACTGTGATCCCAGACCCTATATGGGAAAAGAGTTTGAAACATACCCATCAATGTTCCAATAATGCTAGGCACTGTCTAATTCACTTTAAGATCCTACATCGTCTTCATTTTTCTAAGGAGAGATTGCACAAAATATACCCTGAGATATCCCCTCTGCGTGACAGATGCCTTGTTGCAGAAGACACGTTTCTTCACAGCTTCGTCCTGTGTCCCAAAGTTCAGATCTTTTGCTTTAATATCTTCAGTTTAATTTCTAAGATACCTAAAATACAATTGAAGCCTAATCCTCTCATTATTATTTTAGGAATTTCAGATGAAATTAATAGTTTAAACAGTTACCAACAATGCCTCCTGTCCTATAGTCTCATCACCGCAAAGAAGCTACTTCTCATGCATTGGAAAAATAAAGAAACACCCAATACAAAGTTGTGGCTCAGTGATCTTACTAACACTCTCTACTTAGAGAGAATAAAATATATAGTTTTGGATAAACTTCCATACTTTGAAAAAGTGTGGTCTCCTCTGATTCACTATCTCTCTCTTGGCAATGGAAATGAATGTTTTTTTTCTTCTAACTATATTTAAATTAACTATTTAAAGTAGTATTTAAACGGTAGGATAAGGCTGGGTAGGGAGGGAAGCGGGATTGTTTTTTTGTTTTTAGTTTTTTTTTAGTTTTTTCTCTGTTTGTTTTGTTTTGTTATTGCTGTATGTTCCAAAACAAAAAGAGCACATTATGTCCTAACTGTACACATTTCCTTGTGGTTATGCATTATACTCCTGTGTATTATGTAGATAATATAACATTGTGAATATGTGCTTTAATAAAAAATATTTGAAACCTAACAGTACTTGACATTTAGCAAATATACGCTTTCTTGCGGGACCTTGGGATATCCCACAAGCCACACTGCAAAGGCGTACAGTATATCGCTGAAATATCGCTAGCATAGACCATGCTTTTCGTCAAAAAAACAATTCTCCTAGAACCAACTGAAAAAGAGCTTGCCACAATGCTGAAGCTAATGTCCGAGAGAGTGTAATGTCCAAAGAGTGTAAAGCTAATGTCCAAAGAGAATAACATCAGTGGGTTTTTACAGAAAACCAGCAAGGCAGGTTACTATTGCTTCCAAAACTTCTTGAAACACAATGCAAATCTAAGCTTGAGAAAGCCAGAAGCGCTTTCAGCTGCAAGAGCTGCAGGACTAAACGAGCAAGCGTTGAGCTAATGGTTACATCAATGTGAAATATTATTGAAGGAAGTCGACATCGAGGACAACCCTTCACATATACGCTTTCTATCTGAGAATGGATGAATAAATGCTGACCTTTTTTGGAGTGGGGTCAGATGTTCCTCCAGGTACTCCCAAATGACGATCCCTGGCCCCACCTTCTGTCAAGGTGTTGGCACACAAAGTCAAGGTGTTGAGCACAGAGGTAATCGTCCACATCATGTGTTACCCTCCACACACCACCCTTGCTCTGCAGCCGGCAGACAAAGCATTCTTTAAATATGATAATGGCTAGATATACCAATAGATATAAATGTACTAAATGGTCTTATTGTAATGAAATCGAAAGTTATAGTTACTTCACCACGCTTCCTTAGTTGTCTGTGGAAGGGCTGTACTTTTGTGGGTTTTTTCTTTAATTTAATTTAGATAATACAGGGCAACGGAACAATGAGGAAAGGGACTCTGTAGCGTCCGACATGATCACATTGACTCTGACACCAGTGTCTGCATTAGAAGGCTTTTCGGACTCACAGTTTCCTCCACCACTTCAGCAGCACAGTTCATGGACATTTCAATTACCTTGGGACAAGGCCAGACCAAATCTAAGAGAGACCAGGAGAGACAGATAGGCGGCAGATGGTCAGAGGGATTGTTAAACCCATAAGACAAATGTGTTTAAGTCCCACTTTGAGTTAGTCAAAGAATATTGTTGAACAATATCCAGATAGTTTTGTAGACCGAACTGATGAAGGAGAAAGAATGGGAAGTGGACATTTCACTTTGTGCTCACAGCTAAAAACAAGAGTAGATAATCTGAACAGGAACAACACCCTTGCACGGCTAAGAAAACCAATTGGAGAATGGTCAGCCAGTATCATCAAGAAAATGTGACAGCTATGGTTGTATAAAATGGTAGCCTAATGAACTACCTGTGGGAGAAACGAGACAGTTCACTCAAAAGGGCCAAAATGGAGCGGATAGGGCAAGAGTGAATGAGCTGATGATGATGACATGAGTTCCCCGCACTGCACCACCAATGCATCATCTGCATCTAGCATTGAGCAGCTAAAAAGAGATTGGCCTCTCTTGTTTATGAAGAGGTACGTGAGCAAAAGCTCGACTACAGCAGTGATGATGATCCTGTTGATACTAAAATGTTTTCTGAGGCAGTTTGATCTGATGACATGTACTAGACCTGGTCTAAGTTGGATTGTCAGTAAACTATCTCAATATCTGTCTGATCCATATGAACAAAACTGGTCTACAGTGAAACATGTGATGAGGTACTTAAAAGGTATAAATTGATCGTGAATTATGTTACAAGAAAAGTGCAGAAAAACTCAAAACTTGAGGCATACAGTGATGCTGATTGGGCATAAGATCTAAATGACAGGCGGAGTACAACAGGGTACTGTTTTTGTCTTACTTAAAATGGTCCTCTGATTTCCTGCAAGTCAAAGAAACAGTCCACATTTGCTTTGTCTACATGTATAATGCCACTGGCCGCAACTACACAGGAAAGCATGTATCATGTATCTTGTACAGTTGTTGAACAGCATGGAAAATGATTGTCTGTTTGAGCCAGGACAAATCTTGGAAGATAACCAAGGTGCCATTACTCTGTGTGTCGGCAAAGATGCAAACATGTTGATGTATCATTTAATTCGTATCGATGTATCGATAATTTAGTATATACCCACAGAAGAAATTATGTTTAAGACTATGACTAAACCAGTGACAAAGTTTAAACTGGAAAAGTTCAAGAGTTTCATGTTTGGCATGTAAAAGCAGCACAAGAGGAATACAAGACTGTTGATGTGTTATGATGTTATAATGGTAAACTGCACAGTACGAGAACAAGTGGGGGTGTTAAAGGTTATAATAGGTGTGCCCTCATACTGCTCATGTCACGTGTAAGTGATCGTAAGCCTAAGTTGATCATAAAAACAATCGACTGATCTTAATATTATGGTCTGTTTCCCAAAAGCATCATAACTTAAGAAGCACTTGGAAATCTTCGCAGAACTATGAGTGCTCTGGAGTAATCGTACATCCCCAAGTGCATCGTAAGAAGACAGAGTTATGAGGTCATCTGCAGGACAACTGGCAGATTACACTTTTATCAAGATTTAACTAATTACATTGCAAAGTAATATATAGGTTTTGATTGTACTTTATTGTACACTTTGTTGTACTCGTGTTTTGTTTAAATGAATACATGAAATAATTAAAAAGGCTAGAAAAAAATAGAAATACACATCTAAATTAAACGAATGAACAAAAAACAAAAAATCATAAAATAAGTTATCTGGGAAATATGCTTAAGACCGGGCAAAATGGGGATTAATTAAAAAAAATCTGTCAATGACTTGCTGACGTGCTCGAAAACCAGTCATGTATTGGGCATTTCTTGCGGACCTCCTGATCTTTGAACACGGTTGCAGTTAGTTTGCAATGTGACAATGTCCTTCCAGATGTTTTGTTTTTCCTTATTTGTATGGTGTCATTTAAATCGGTTAAAAATAGAAGGACATTCATTTTATCTTTTTGAAAGGTATCTTCTCTTGTTTTTTTGTTTTTGTTCAGCCATTTTGTCAGCCTGTATAGGTGTTTTATATCCATATGCCTATATCCAAGCCTTGTCTTGATTTCTAATCCACAACAAATGACGATTAGGTTAAACGTTCAGAATACGATTCCATATAAGGTTATATTTCAGCACTTCTCAAGTGCTCTGGAGTAATCGTACATCCCCAAGTGCATCGTAAGAAGATGCACTTGGGGATGTACGATTTCTACGTGCTCTTAAGTAGCACGTAGAATGCGTTCTCGCGCGTTCATGTTAAAGGTCCCCTGACATGAAATTTTTATTTTCTGAGGTTTTTTAACATTAATATGATTTCCCCTACTGTATTTGGTCCCCTCGTGTCTAGAATTTTCAATCGGTGTAAACCGAGGTTTGGCTATTTTTCTCTTCTCTGCATCCGTCTGCATCTCAGATGCGCTGATCCAGAATCTCCCCCTATATAACGTCATATAGGGGAAAGGTTACTCCCCTTTCTCTGCTTTGCCCTCCCAGAGAATTTGGCCGGACGATGAGAAAACGAGCTAGGAACAGGAAGTATGAACACGCACAGGCGCGATTTTATTTTTTCCTAGAGAAATAGGAGATTTGAGTTTTTCCTCGAGAGATATCATGGCTTGCAAACGAGCGAAGAATGGCAGTTACTCAGTGTTCGGATGTACAAATGAACACAAAAGTATTTTTTAGTTCCTTCATCCGTGCCTCTGAAGAAACATTGGGTTCATTTTATTTTCTCTGGAAATGCTCAACTCCCAAAGGTGCTCAAAAAATGCTCAAAAGTTTTTTATGGTCCAGGCAGGAGACAGGTAAGTTAATCTTTCTCTCAAAATCGTTCGATACTGTTTATGCATCAGTAAGTCAAGCCGGACTATTATCAACTTCACATCGTTTCATTGAGTAGGATGACAATAATCTTACTTAAAGAAAGCGTTTAGCAGGATTGATATTCAAAACGGTAAGCACGCGCGCTTTGTTTACATTATGTGTATCTACAGCCCCGGCAGCGTCGGTTTTCCTTTTTGAATGATGAATATAGACTAATATATCTGCAGAAATAGACAGTTGGCTTTTTAGTTGGCAGGCCCAGAACGCGCATTAACCAAGTTCCGGGCTTTAGAGAGAACAGAAACTGCGTTACACTGCACAACGAAGCTCTTACTGTATTTACATCATCGTGTCTGCATTGGTGAAAGCAGAGAGTGCAGAAACTGCATGATTATTCAATAAGATCTTCATTCTCGCGATCGACAGACTGTCCTCTGCTGCTCAATGCTCATCACAGAAACATTTTATGTGATGAGAATCTAAATACTTCAAAAACTTCTCACGATTCAGTAATCTCGATATCTGTAATAGTAAAAACGTATAATAGTACAAGTATTCAAGAGAGTTTCACATGTAATATGTAGCTATATATTTCATATGCAAGCATGTCAGCCAATCACAGCAGTGGGCGGTTACATTGAATCGCACAGCAGACACGCCCCTTCAAACAGAGCGTTCAAAGCAGAGGCTAAAATCAGGCTAGGAAAAATGCCTTTTATTTCTAAATTATGACTATTTTTGATCTAAAAAACATACTAACATTATAAGGGCAACCCAGGAAACATTATAAAATAATAAAAAAAAAAACTGTCAGGGGACCTTTAAGTGCATTTTTGGGAAACGCGCATGGAATTGCGGCGAGTTTTCGTAACCTTGCACGTAGAGAACGCTCTTTATACATCGTTATCGGGAAACCCGGTCCTGCTATCCATAAATGGGTATATGCAAATAAAAGATGTTTCGGTCCAACAGAATACGAGTGATGTATGTGTTTTTTTTCCTTCATAAAGTTTATTAAAATTAACCAATTATCATTCACAAAAATGGGCTGTGCCAACAGTAACATTTCCATAACAATATAAATGTTCTGTGTGGCATAAAAAAAACAAAAAAACAGAATAATACTGTACTTCAGAATGCTAATAAATAACAGAAAAATGCTGTACAACATTTTAAAGTATATGCTTAAATATACTATAGTTATTTTTATGGTAATTTGACTGTGGTATGAAATACAGCAACGATTTTTTAATTTCTGAAAGGACAGTATGTGATGTGAGTAATAACACATCTCTAATCTGTTTTACTCATTTGGAATATAGTGAGTCAAAAGTAATTTACCTTAATTATTATTTTTGGAACAGATAAAGGGCTAAACAGACAGCCTAACTAATGATATAAAAGTGTTGTAATCTGGCGTAAAACGATGTCAAATTGAACTACTTGACAAAGAGAAGATCTGCCAATCAGCGTTTTATGTATTGTTCTTTTTACACAATTTTTTTAAATTTCATATTACACATAAATAATCGACACATTTAAAACATTTACACATTTGTCTACGAAACTTCTGGATTTATATATTTTTTTCTCTCATTTAAGATATGCAAATTAAATCAATTATTTAGGCAACATTATTACCTGAAAAATGATGTTCTTTGTGTTGTTTTAATTTTGATAATCCGTTGCATATTAAAATGGATGTTGTTGCAACTGAAATGAAAATTGAATTGAAAATTTGCTTTACTGCCATCTAGAGGTTTCACTGTATACATCCACCACCACAGCACCCGCAGAAAATTAAGCTTTTTAATTCACTTATTAAATACAAGTACTTTTGGTCCAATTGTACCCATGTCAGGTGAGCTTAGAACCAACTTCGTGAGCTTAGAATTATAAGGTTCTATCTCCACTTTTGGTAGAAATTGAGTTTTTGACATAATCTTATCCATTAGGTGTTTATTAATGCCTGTGTGGTGTTATTTTTGTAAAAAAACAAAACAAAAGAATAACAGATGAAGCTATAATAGAAGATTATACTACATAACAGTTTTGCCAGCTGGGATGTAAAAACTTTGATGCTCAATATCTCAGAAATACCCTAAACGGAGGAACCTTATAATTCTAAGCTCACGTAATGTCAAATGCTTAAAGATACCATTCTACATAATAATTCAGCTCTTCGTTTTCATTTATTTTCTTTATAATATACAACAAAGTTTGAAATTCAGGAGCAGAGCATGAAAAACAAAACGAACAATTTACTCATTAAGTCACATCCACATTCACACTCATACTAATCGACTTACTCTCACTGAGTTACTACTAACAAAGGTGGAAATGCAAAGGCCTTTATCAGTGTATTCAACATGTGTGGGACTTCACAGCATCTGACAACACATTCTGACATCTGACATTCTACCGACTGTACAGTTGATTCAGTGTTTATAAGTGTAAAGTTGTACTGTCTTTAATCTTGTAGATTTGAATTTTGTCAACTATAATTGATTAATTAAGCAGTTCAAAGTTTATAATACATCACTGTAATAGATAGATATTTATTGTTTTAGCAGACACAAGAGGCTTTGGTTTTATTAACACTAAATATGACCAAATTAAATGACCATAACTTGCATCGTAAATCAAAATAGCAATAATAATCTACAGTCTTTATTTTTTAAGAGTTGTTTTATCCCCAAAAGCTTATGTTTACCTAACAGCTATACAGTGATAATGCCAGATGAGGTAACTAAGTAGTGAGCAACAATAAATATTCATTCTGTTTGGTGCATCTCTCTTTTTTTCAGTGTGCTACAGCAAGGTCAATAGGACCGATCCAAGGGCACACAACATCACAGTGTAAAGGCTTCCAAAATGGCTGATGCCTGGAGAGAAAAACAAAAACAAAAAAATATTTTCTTTAATACCATTTATCATATTTAAACATTGCATGATCTTCTAAGAAAAAAACAAACAAAAAAACAATTCAGTGAATGCAAATGTTTATTTACCACTGTTCCAATTTTGCCGATCCTGATCACCGATCCTCTCTGATGATACAAATAAAAATCTTTATTAATGCACATGAATCTATTTGCACTCACTGAATCCAGTTTAAAAATTCATACACTGTAAATAGTAGTTTACAAAAAAAAACCATCCACAAGCAAGAACATGGTTACGTTTAAGGGTTTATAGGCATCATGTTTCATAAATCTTGATTTCTCAAAATGGCGCAGAGTCTCAAAACTGCTGATCTCATGCTCTTTAATGAACATGCCCAGGAGAGCAACAACCATGCACTTTACATGCAACACAAATGCAAACTATCTGTCATGCCAATAAAGGACACTTATAATATAACTAAAATAGAAAGAGAGAAGTGACGGTGGGATATCAGCAGAACCTACTACATTTAAGCAAACATGAATGAGGGAAAGCAGAGTTTCCAGTTCTCATGCATTTGGTGTGAGAGAGAGGATTTCTAGTGTTGTGTCCCGATTCTCTAGATCATCTTTGAGATGTTTGTACACTTTGACTAATTTGTGAGTCTACTTTGGATCTGTATTTCACCTCTCCGAATCAGTCAATAGAATTTGCCATGTTCGCCAACAGTTTTAAATGTTCTGTTGGTTGTATTTTATCCCAGCTTTTATGTAGTGTTAAAAAAACTGAAACAGGAAGTGCTTCTGGACCAGTGTTGTTTACATCTTGTGAAATGGTCTATAGAACATACTTTTTGGTCGTGAGGTAATTACTTATTCAAAATATGTATCCAACTCAAGAGAGTGTGTGATTTCTGACGCAGCCCTCGTAATCCTGAAGACCTTAAAGGATTAGTTCACTTTTGAAAAAACTTTTGCTGATAATGTACTCACCCCCATGTCATCCAAGATGTCCATGTCTTTCTTTCTTCAGTCGAAAAGAAATGAAGGTTTTTGATGAAAACATTCCAGGATTTTTCTCCTTATAATCGACTTCCATGGGAACCAGGTCCAACCGAGGTCCAAACGACAGTTATAACAGTTTCAGATGCAGCTTCAAATGTCTTTAAACGACACCAGACGATGAATAAGGGTCTTATCATGCGAAACGATCGGTTATTTCAAAGCTTATTCCAAAAATTTAACTTTTCTAAGGACAAATGGTAGCCTTTCTCTATTCTGTAAGGCGCGTTTGCAACGTCACGTAATACATAATTACGTTCAAAAGGTCACAGGCGACGTAGCCGGAAGTACAGAATCAAAATCGCCCGACATCGTTGTTTTACCTTTTAATTCCTTTTTTGTAAACGCCGTTTGAGTTAGTTTTCACGTTCAACCTATGCGTTCAACTTGTAAACACTCTGACTCTGTACTTCTGGCTACGTCGCCCGTGACCTTTTGAACGTAATTACGAATTACGTGACGTTGCAAACGCGCCTCACAGAATGGAGCAAGGCTAGCATTTGTCCTTAGAAAAGTTACATTTTTGGAATAAGCTTTGAAATAACCGATCGTTTCGCATGATAAGACCCTTATTCATCGTCTGGTGTCGTTTAAAGACATTTGAAGCTGCATCTGAAACTGTTATTAACTGTCGTTTGGACCTCCGACCGTCTGGTTCCCATGGAAGTCCATTATATGGAGAAAAATCCTGGAATGTTTTCATCAAAAACCTTCATTTCTTTTCGACTGAGGAAAGAAAGACATGGACATCTTGGATGACATGGGGGTGAGTAAATTATCAGCAAAAGTTTTTTCAAAAGTGAACTAATCCTTTAATGAGCTTGTTCAGGGGTGTTTAAATGGAGCTGAGCTGAATTCTGTAGTTAAGGATTGGACACACCTGAGAGCGGAAAATGTATATCGGTGCAAAGCCATTAGCCATGAGGTCAAAAAGTATATTTAAATTCTATAGACTTATGTTGAAATTTAAACAGAAGCTGCATTAGGCAGTGCATTGAGTGAAAACGTCTCTGAAACAGCTGTGTATTTGACAAATATTGCATTTACTTCACTTCATCAATAATAAAGTAGCTAAACACCACTCAAGCATCACTACAGGAAGTGTACCGACTGCAAGCGGCAACTCTCGCTGATCGGTTACATCAAGCCGCAGCTGGAGTCGAAACGCACCAAATGACTCAGTAGGAACACTAATGACCAGCGTGACCACACAAAATAAGACAACATGAAAGCTGTTAACATGCCTTGTGCTCCCCTTTGTCGTGTGATTCCCTCATCCTCTTGTGATCATGTCATGTGCTTCCTTGTTTAATGTGTTCTCATTGGTTCATTGCTCAGTTGTGTCAAGTCATTAGTTCTGTGTATTTATTCATGTTTCCACAGTCTCTTGTCTTGTATAGTAAACCTCTGTTGGTGTGTGTTATGTCATGTCAAGTAGAGCTTTGGTGAAGCACTCAACCACTTAGAACAATTGTCTTGAAAATGGGTTCATAACTCGAAGCTTCAGTAACAGCGACCTCGCCTGGTGAAGGAGAAGGGTCTGACTGCAGAGCCGCAGAGCCGCAGTTTTACCCCTGCAGTTTCACCCCAGCAGTTTTACCCCGCGCATGCGCAGTTTCACTATAGCAGTTTTATCTGCTCGTTTTGAATAAGTTATTAAATTGTCTTCACTGCAGTCAGTTCAGCAGTGCTGTTGGACAAATCATTCTTTTATTTAACATATATTCATGTCGCAGGAAACTTGCTATAACAGCAGCACCAGGCCGTTGGATCAAAATGAAAAAAACAAAAAGTTAGGGTATTTTGTTGTCTTGTTTTCGGAACACTTTAACGTCCTGATTGATTTCTTTGTTTTTCGAAATGCAATTTGCCATTTCAGCATATCTCCCATCAACTCGATATGACATCCTGTCGGGTCTTCATGATTATGGTAAGTTATTGGACTTTTATCAGTCTGTCTCCACTCTGTTATATCAAAAATATATTGTAAAATGAATGTTTCAGTATGCCCTACACATCTTGAATGAACCCGTTGATTTCACTGCTGTAAGTCTTATTTCTACGTTATATTAATATTATTGTTGTTAATAGTATTCATGGAAGTATTGCTTTTTTCTCAGCATGACATTCATGACACAAGTGGTGCCTTCTCCTAATGGAGAATTTTGTTTCTAGGGTTTAGTTATTATTATTTGTCATTTAGCAGACACTATTATCCAGAGTGACTTTTAGTAAACTAACTTTAGGGACAGTCCTTGCTCAGGACTCAGTATTCTGCACAACTTTGTTCTCATTGTTGTCTTTTTGTATTTTGTCAGACATGGAAGGTGGCTTGCACATTGGGCTGAGGCGGTTGGATTGCACATGGCGGTTGGATCTTGCCTCACTGACAGTGAAGTGAGCTTTTGTTGTCAAAGTATTTTGTTTATTTATTTATCTATCCTATTGTCAGTCGACAATATTCTATACTTAGACTTTCAGGGGACACAGATATCAGTTGGGTTCTTAAAACACACCAAGTCCCATTGTTGCAGGGTTGATCCTTGAAAGACCCTAAAAGACCCCTGTGAACACACATGTGCCCCAAGCCAAATGGTCTAGAGCTAGTCTGATCATTACAGGCATGCACTACTTTAAATATATGTTCTTGCTAAATGTAATGTTGTAGTTTTATAATGCGGTATTAAAAAGGGCTTAAAAGTCTTAACTGGTGGACATCCTGTATTAGGGCAGGGACATTGACCTTTGTTATTTTTGTTTGTTTTTGTAAAATGGATTGATTCAAATAGCTGAATTCTCTCGTGCAAATTCGAAGTAACTCAAATCTTAGTTTGGTTCTGCATTGCATATGCATGAAATTATACATTTTATTAAATGAAACATTTTGTAGTGGACAATTGAAATACATTACATCACTCTGTGCTCTTCTACAACAGATGAATGGACCAGGAGAAATTGAGTATGGAGTAGGAGCGCTGGAGGGGGACACGACACCACACAATCTTGAGGTATTTTGTAGAGTTATGCAATGTATATAATATATTTAGACATTTTATTTATCTGAAAATACTATAAAATTGTTGATTGCTGTTAATTTTCAAATATTTTTCATAAAGAATGCCAATATGATGAGCAGCATCAGGAAAGGTGTGGAATGGTTGAAGGACAATCACCCGCTGATGAAGATCAAGTACTTGCCACCACGCATTGACAGCACGGAGGAGGAAGAAAGCCCTTTCTCCACTACATTCACATTGTGCCACAACTTTGGATGAGGATGATGAATTAAGAGCCCCATTCTATTTTACATTTAAAAATAGAGAGGTCATGCCCTTTTTCATGTCTGAGGTTCAGGACAAAGAAAAATGTTAAGAGTGTCATCATTTTAAAACCCTGACATTTAATTATTATTATTTATTTTCTAATTGGTGACAGACTTGCTGTCTGTCTGTAGCAGTATGTCTGTGTATGTATATTAGATGGTCTGTCTGTATCAATATGTCTGTCTGTCTGTATCAGTGTGTCTGTGTATGTATGTCAGTATGCCTTTCTGTCTGTATATCAGTATATTTGTCTGTCTGTATCAGTATGTTTGTCTGTCTGTATCAGTATGTCTGTGTATGTATATTAGTTTGTCTGTGTATGTATATTAGTTTGTCTGTCTGTATCAGTATGTCTGTGTATGTATATTAGTTTGTCTGTCTGTATCAGTATGTATGGCTGTGTATCAATATGTATGTCTGTATCACTGTGTATGTGTATCAGTGTGCCTGTCTGTCTGAATCGTATGCCTGTCTGTCTGTATCAGTATGTCTCTCTGGTAATTGAATTGAAATATAATTGTATTCTTGGTAATGTCTCCAAAATTAATAAAATATTTGAAATTATTGTTAATAATTTGTGTTCAAGTCATTTGTTTCATCAGGCAGATTTAATTAATTTAAGAATAATTAGACATATATGGATATAGTTCGCCTTTGAATGTCTAATCAGAAGTTTGTGTTATACCAGGTATTAATTAAGTGTGTAAATATATATAGGCCAGGCTATTTCTTTTTTTGGAGGAAAAACGTAAAAGATTAATGTGCTCCTGATACAAGCACTGTTTTATTTCAGTAAAGGAACCTGCACGGGTAAAACTGTTGAGGTGAAACTGCGCATGTGCGGGGTGAAACTGTGGCTCTGCAGACTAATAAGCAAAAATAATTGGTAAAAATAACCATTAGATCGTTTTAATACTGAAAAATATGCGCGGGTAAAACTGCTATATTGAAACTACGAATGCGCGGATAAAACTGCTTAAAACTGTTGTGGTGAAACTGCGCATGCGCGGGGTAAAACTGCTGGGGTAAAACTGCTGGGGTGAAACTGCGGCTCTGCGGCTCTGCAGACAGATATTATTGTGGTGAAGTGCCAAAGCTGCATTTAAATGATCCAAGCTATAGTGGACAGGAGGCTTTAAAACTAGTGAAATAAATCCAGTGCACACACCTGTCATCACTATTGTCAAGTTATGCTTAGTGACGAGCAGACGAGGCTTTGTGAAACACTGAAACAGTTGAAGCAAATGTGCTGTATCGTCTCCACGGCGACCCCTAGTGGTCAGAACATGCATAAAAACACCTTTTGCAATTTTTGATTGTAAGTAAAATCTTTCAAACGCAATTATCTAATCATCTAGTAAGATTATCAAGTGTATATATGTTGTGCAATTGTTGGTTTTGGGTTTGTTTTGTTCTATGAATGGCTCAGCTAAACGGGACAATAAGACGATTAACTGACATTATTCATTGTCTACATTATTCATGTATAATTAAAACATCTACAAATGCATAAAGCTGATCCGAGATCAGGTAAAACCCACAGACACTTTTTTAAGTTGTTCTCAGTAACTCCTCATGGTAAATGATTAGTCAGAGATCATCGCCCCCTGCATTGAACCATTGACAATTCAAAGTGTTTCGAAACGTTTGTAAAGAAGCCTCATTAACTGTAATCATGTGACGTTTGATACGCACTCTGAACCATTGATTCCGAACAAAAGACTCGTAAAGGCTTTGAAGCTTCATGGAGGAGTGCACTCAAAAAATAATCTGTTGACTTTAACTTTATATAAACAGATTCCACATAACTGGGTTGCGTTTAACAAACATATTTGTTCATGTAACTTCAACAATGGAATTAAGTAATTGTAAGCGACCCAATTAAACTCTGTGATTGAGTGATTGAAAATTGAGTGATGATTGAGCATTTTTGAAGACACCTGATGTTACCAAGCAGAATCACTGAAGGAGAAAACCGGTGTTCTGACGATTCATGCTACCCATCAAGATTTGCTACTTATTGGTTATGCGCATGTGCAGACTCAGAGTTTTTTTTTTAATATATACAAAAGGTACATTTTCCTGTTATAATGTATAATTTCCATTTAAAAAATGCTTACTACCATATGAATATTTGTACGGTCAGCAAGCTGAAAAAGAATAACTGAAATGTGTACTTTGACAAGTCAAAGATGAATATATTTTATGATAATTTTTACTTTTCACACCGTTTTAAAAGTAAAAACAATAGTCTACAGTATACAGTAGCTACTCATAACTTCGAATTGTATTACAATTGTATTTCATACGACTTTAATCGGCATTCTGTGATCAATTCGCGCTACGGTAGCATTTTTCGACAAGGTAGCAAAAATCGACAGAACACCGGAATTGTCACCATTATGGAGATCAGTATTTGTTTTAGTTGGGCTCTTGACCCTCACATCAATAACTTTAGATATTGTTTGGCTGCTGTAACTGAGTTATAACAGCCAGATGAACAAATAAACAGGTGATCTGATGGTGTTGATTGTATTTTAATATAATCATGATTTCACAAACTCTTATAGAACCCAAATTCTGAGTTAAGATTGCCTTATGGATTATAGCAGCACTGTCATTGTAGAGCATACCATTTTTTTTAACATTTTCAATGAAATCCAAAATGATCAAATCAAAATGGTAAATCAATAAAAAAAAACATTTGTATGAGACAGACATCAAGAATTAGCATATGAATTAGGGATCGACCGATAGGGATTTTTTAGTGCCGATACCGATACCGATTTTTTTCCCATCAGCCTTAGCCGATGACCGATACGGTCTGCCGATTTTCTTGAGCCGATATTTGGAGCCGATACATTTTGCTCCCTCAATTTACATCTTAAAAATAACATAATGTTAACAAATGTTACAGGTCTCAATTTAATAAAAGTAACATTTAACTAACTTCAAAAATTAATATTTAACAAATAGTAAAAACATGTGAGGTAGAACAAGAACAAGTAGATAAACAATTTAAAAAATATTAAAAACATGAAGTAGAACAAAAAAAGTTCAGTGCTGAAAATGAATATTTAAGCATAAATTAAATAATTACACTATTGCACACAGTAGCAACCAGCATAATAAAGTGCACAGTGCACACTGTACTTCATTTTAAAAGAAACGAACTATGTACTGCATGGTTTAAATTTTCCTACATAAAATAAAATGAGCATGTCTAGTCTCTAATATTACTGCGATTGCGAGGGAGACAAACTCCACACGCCCCAAACCTCAGCCAGGTGAGCGCTGAATAAATCTCCCACAAAAAGCACAGAATAACGTTGGCATTCCTTAATCCTATGACCAGAGTTCGTTACCGTATGCATACTAGGGCTGTCAAAATTGCTAAAATGGCGTTTGCATTTTCCCTCTAAAAAACATATTCGAACATCCCGTTGCGCGTTTTGTTGTTGACGCGCAT